CACAGGAGATAGACAAGAACAATAGTGTATGATGGTTAAGAATCTCCGGTTACTAAAAATCTGCAGTTGGTTGCCACCTCTTGGTTATTTATCCCATTGAAGAAGATGATGTCTTTCAGCAAGGCTCATGACTCAGATAACCCTTAGATAAAATATCTAACTTTGGAGCTCAAGGATATGGACTCGTACTTCTGAGGGAACGAAAGTTTGTCTCGATGTTGCAGACATACCATCATAATAATAGCCATTTAAAACAAGACTAAAGTTTAAAGGGTTTTGACAAGTTTCTTTAAACATCTCCCGTTCAATACAATAGGCTGAGATGCCACTTACCTCAGTGAGCATATAAAACATTCATCGGTAAGATGCAGTCAGCACTGAGAACTAGGCAACGTAACGGCTAATCTACAGTGATCGATTATTGCGATAACTAGATGCTCACAGAATTCGGACAGAGACTTACAACATACAATCTGCGGTGAAATCCAGCTTATCGAGGGAAGTTAAGTAAGATCTGACTAACTTGCGATCAAAGCTCTAAAACTGTCCGTGAACTTTAAAGCTTCATCCTAAGGCCTCTTTATGGTGTGCTGGAAGACTGGGTGACCGGGAATCATTATAAACCCACTAAGAATGTGTTTGTCGTTAGATTATTGCCACTACTGATCAGGTTGGTGAGTCAAAGCAAGTTACCACAGTATGATTCCTTTAAAAGTCCTTACAGCCAATTATTTCAGTCTCGAAAAAATAACTGATGAGTCAAAATTGATTATTATAACCTCTAAATTCCCACTATTGGTAAGCATTTTACGCTTGAGTGGAGTTAAGGTACCTCCAAGATTCTGTGTTGAGACAAGGTATGATACACTCAAAAATCGCTCATGAACTAACATTTCAGGGTTTGAATCCCGCCCCCAACTACCGAGGTTTGGGTAACCAAGTACTATTATTAGCCCCCCACAAAATAGATATAGTTTACTGCCTACTGCACAAATGAGCACAAGGTTGCTGAGGACATTTCGATCTTCCAACTTTTCCACCTAATCTTTGAGTTAGCACAGTTCTAAACATGGAAGCCGCTAAGACTAAATATGTATATATGTCTAAGACACTGATGACAATTTTATTTAGAGACAAACAGCTGATATCAATATTAATTACACATTCCCATTGAGTGAAAATAATGAGATAAAGTTACTGAGTAATATCAACTTGGAATGACTGAACGTCATATATGGATAGATAGATAGGCAGAAAAATTTAAAATCCCAAGTAAGTGCATCAGACAGAGAACTATATACGCAAGAGCATGATGCCTTTCAGTCAGAACACTGGGATGGTACTAAATGCAGTCTACATCGACGTACATACATGCCAGTTTATTCAGAGGAAGACGTCACTTATCAACCCTGACAAGCAACTCGAATATATATATATATATATATATATATATATATATATATATATATATATATATATATATATATATAATACTAATACTACTAAACAAGTATCATTCTTAAAGATATTGATCGGTAACTGAATGACTGCAACTTATATTTCTATTTTATTGCAACACTAAAACTATCATCTACGTATTCAAGTTCAAAAGTAACTTATTCTGATTGCAAATCTAAACACCTATCAAGCATTAACTAAACCATTTGATGAATGTCATAGTATCAACTTGAAAATCCAACTGCCTCCAAATACCTTGGAGAATTCTTTTTTCCTTTCAAATGGTCACATTTAATAAACCTTCTAAAAAAATCATACGCAATGCACTTATGCGAAGCAGACGGTCCTCAGAGAAAAAGAAACAAGTGATATACTCTAATCATCACCATGGATGCAAAACCTTGGTTTTAAACCAATTGAATCCAGCACTCTGATCGAATGAATTGTTCACGAATGCACATTTGCCATACAAACGCCGTTCATTAGGTTGCACTATCGTTGAAAACCCAGGATGTGACTTTACCTAACAAACATTCATTTCCATATAGCAGCCTGAGCAACATGAAAGCAGTCAAAGAGTTAGGATAGTTGAAAAGACAAAAAGAAATTACTCCAGTTAGTTATTGTGTCAATAGGAGAATGATAAGTATATGCTTACATTATTATACTTCTCTTTTAATATTTTTGACACATTATTCAGCAGTTTTCCACTGTTATTATCAAGTTCCTATTCGAAAGCCATCACCCAATGCGAGGTCTGACCGGTTTGGAACTACACTTGTCATCAGCCTTGTCATTGATATTCATAAACTGACACATACTTTAGAATACGCTCGCTTGATTAGAGACTTGAAAAGCTTTATCACTGATGTGATGGATTGGGGTGCGAAGGTAAGATGGTACTCAGAAGGATGTTTTCTGAAACAAAACCGTCTTTTCTACTTTGCCCTACAACATTCCACTAGTGGTTGGTTTTCTGAGCAACAGAAAAAGTCAGAATAAAATATTTCCCAAGTGGCTGTTTGTCTGTCTATAAGCAGATGCACCACACGCTTTTAGGTCAAAAACAAACAATATTGATCTAACCTTCTTTCAGATGCCTTGGAAAAAAATTCCATCGTGCGAGTAGTGGTGAAATAGACTTTGTCCATACGCTTACAGAAACATTTACATCTCTACTCATCAAATATTACCCTAATTTAATTGTAATACTTTCACTGCTACATATCAGGCATCTGGTGAATAACGCTGTTTCACAGTTGTCAGATAAACTTATTTAATACGGAATTATATCCCACCAGTGCCCAAATTCTCCTCTTACATTACAAAACTGAGAGACTTCCTCAAACTTCAATTTTTTCCAAACAAAGATGTTAGCGGCTCTCAACAGTTCAATTCGGACTGGCTGTGAGGAGAGTTACAACCAAAGACAACGTTATGAAGTAACTAACTGTTTTTACGACAAATATAAGCATTGATGAGCAGTGAAGACAAGAGAGATGGGTTAAACAGGTAAAAGTTAGGTCGTCAGTTGCTCAGGATTTATACTGAAACTGACTCAGAAAATTAAACGGCTGGTGAAGCGAAAGCCTGAAAGTAGGCTTTCGATAAACTTCTAGGGTAGTCGGTTTGAAAGCTGGATAAAAAAGTTCGAAGCGAAAGTTAAGTAGCATGCAGTTACAGAACTCAGCTTGAGTGGAACACATATACGTCAAAGCTGAAAGAACTATTTGAGGAATAAAGTAAGGAAGAGCAGCAAGTCCTGAGGAGTTATCACTTGTAGTTAGTAATAATAATCCTGGATTCTTCGTTTAATCAATGTATTAGATAAACTGTGGAAGTCAGGTATGGTCCAACATGACTGGCTGATTCTAGCCTTCGGTAACCCCAGTGTGCAAGAAGCGAGAATTTTCGTGTAACAAGCAAAGACAAATTAATATGACTAATGTAGTTCTCAAAAGTTTAGGAGTCACGGTTACCTGACATCTGGTCGAAGCTTAAGAATAGCAAACTCGAAAAACTGGGACAAGTTTTAGACATGGATGAGAACATACTAATCAAATCTTTACTTATTAGCTTAAGCATTCCACTTCCAGACAGGAATTTTTGAATTTAAAGTCTGTTTCGTCTACTTCGGATTGGAAAACCATACGTAAAATGTGACGCATAGCCGAGTATATAAGCCAGGAGTATGCTAGAAAAAAAAAATCGTACTTACAGCTGTCGAAAAATGTTTTCAACTCTGTTATGAATTTATTGAGATGATTAACTTCATCTAATTCCTCAAACCCCAATCTCTTGTTTGAAAATTCATAGATCATTTTACAGTCAACAGATTTTTAGATGATTCTAACGAGAAATGGAGTATCAGGAAAAAATAAATAGTATAATTGGACCAAATATAGGTTAAAGTACTAGGCTATGAGCCAAATATGTTGCGCTTGAGCTTATGATACCTTCCAGATGCCTAGACCGAAACAGGTGGGTGGGATACGAGCCGGGGACTCTATAGCTTTTATGCTAACCATCCAGATATCCATATGGTTATCGACTTTACAGTGATGTTCGGAATGACTTCTTATATGTGACGTGTAATGATGCTCAGTTTAACACCAAGGAAGTGAATTGGCCAAACATGTCCACCGCACTCACCTGTAAAGTCTCATCAGTTCTGATAGGCTCCCCGTCTACATACCTCACGAGAGTTGCTGTCTACATCCAAATGTCCTATATGTTCCTGTTGCAGCAATACGCTTTGTTCTTTTGTGTGACGATAACTTGAGAAATTCTATCACTACTGTCCTACTAGCATCATTCGTGTCCAAAGCTACCATTATCAGGCTGAGTGTAAAAAAGGATACAACTTAGTTGGTGGGGTAGTGAATGGTTAGTGACTAATAATATACGAACAGAACGTGGGCACTGTGGCAGACTTTAATTCCATTTTATTCTGTTTATTAGAAATGTCACACTGAAACAGAGGACGTTTCAGACATAATTTACTGTCCACGTTCATATCATGTCACTGAGCAAGGTGGCTGGGATATACGTCAAGCAATGCAGAAATGTCAGAAATGTCAGTCTATGGATTATTGTACTGTTTTGTGTCCAATGAGAGGTAGCGTCACTAAAACCAAGCTTATTATCAAGAAATTACTCTGTAAAGTATCAGTGAAGCTGAATAGGTGTCGACCAAAAGATTCTTCAGTTTCCTATGAAATTGGCACTTTCTGAAACTAACGACAGCCCAAATACGGTAAACCAAATGGTGTAACTGCTGTTTGATTATCTCTACGGTTAGTCCAAGACAAGCGAAAAGACTCAGTTTTCTTCTAATCATGCTACATGAAGGACAGTGTCTACCAACAACAATTACTGATTACACCTTTTTCGCCCAATCGTTACCCATTGAAAATACTATAAGTTGTACTGATAATCGACGTATACATAAACGAAAATACCAAGTAAATTACTAAACAATTGATGAATTATCAGACTCAAAATTAAGCGGTACATTTTCAAGCAATAACAATAAAACTCACCGAAACTTTTTAGCCAAACCAAAATCAATAAGTAAGACTTTGTTGCAGTGACGACCAATACCCATCAGGAAGTTGTCAGGTTTTATATCCCGATGAATAAAGTTCTTTGCATGTAGAAAATCTAGTCTCCATAACATTTGGTCCGCTAGCATCAATACAGTCTTCATGGTGAATCTGCGCCCACAAAACGTAAACAGGTCTTCTAAGCTAGGTCCCAAAAGCTCCATTACCATGGCATGGTGAAGATTTCTAACACCATCTAGTCCGTAAAACTGGATTTGAGGTATTCCAGGGTTCCCTTAAGATTTTCATACATCTGAAGAAGTACAAACTCACATGCAATGTCCGATACACCTTACTCTCGAAGTACAGCTGAGGATGTCGTGCATGAACACGCTCCATTTTTATTGCGACTTCCTCTCCTGTCAGTATGTTAACTCCTAGAAAAATAGAACCGAACGACCCGCTGCCGATTTTTCGAACGAGCCTCCACTTTCCAGCTACTACATACTCGCATGAAGATGTGAGTTGAGAATCATCCATCGTGGTTACAAAGAGGATTTAGCGAATGCGTACATTCAGCTGTATAAACAATGCAAAAAGTATATTGTTTGTGCACATTATAACAAGTACTTCATTTTCGTGGTAAAACAGTTCATTTGCGGAATAAACTTGTAGAGGCTCCCATGATCACCTATACAAAATGCAGAGCAATTTACAATTCCCCAGGGAGCACCACTTCATGCTTATGAAAGAAAGCCCAAGTAACATTGAGATATGAACTTTACATCCCAAGCGTTTTCCATATATAGTGCGAGCAACGTTAAGAAAAACTTCAAAACATGAATCACCATAAAAAGTCTTGCACATATTTTGGTACTCTATGTAGTTTTGCAAATGTTTTAAAACTTAGACGAAGTAAAAAAATAACTGAAACACTTTTCCTAATAAAATGGGCGGACACTTCAGATAAATTTGGTGCAACATCCTTATTAAACTGGATAAAACCATACGTGCAACTCAATAAAGCATCCGTTGATGACCCCAGTAACACCCAAAAGCCTGTTCAGTGTGTAGAGAAATATGACTTCGCAACATTAGATCAGCTGCTTTACCCGAGAAATCTAATTTCAAGTCCAAACAGTTCCAAACGAATGAACTCTAAGCCTACGAAACTATTTGTGAAACTTCTGGCTTCAATCTCCAGGAATAATTTTAACTTGCATGCTAAAAGTAGCAACTATTGGGAATAGGTATGAAATGTTTTGTTGCACTACGTCAGTAACCACGAGGTATTTTTATGCACTAGATAATGAGCCACACGTATTGTGAGGGGGCTTACGACATAACCTGGTTGGTCGTACCTCTGTAGGTGAAGTGGGATTTCAACCTACGACCCAGTGGTTGAAAGTCAACTCGCTAAACAGAGCCACGACTCCACACAGCATTAAGATACAAGATAAAATGATGGAAAAGCAACGGCAAGAAAATGGAAAACTTTGTAGAGAAGGTAAGCAACAAAGTGTGATACGATTACGGTATGCATAATATGAGGACCCATCTTCACCAGAAATGGATTATGAACCATATAACCTAGTCTCCAACCACCAATATTTTTGCTACACGGGTAAAGATCTATTGGTCTACATTGCTATACACAACTCAGAACAAGGATCAAAAACTTCGTAGACTAATGTCCAGCCTTAATCTGGTCCCTTATAACCTTCTACCAGCCAAAATCTGCTTCACCTGACATTGTACTTCAAGGCAGATGGTGAATACGTATGCTCTAATTAACTGAATCACAGAAGGTTTACGACTTCATTAACTAACTTACCTCCTGAAAAAAGCTCATGCATAACTTTCATGTTACTGAAGTGGTTATCTGATGACATCGTCTATGTTATGAAGGTAACGGTAGTCAAAAAACTGAAGCCTCCTCAAATCCTCTACGTTTATGAAAAATAAAGCCCAGTTTGGAAATGTGTTAAACAGTTGGGAGCATTTCGATGTGGCATCATCAACGTTGTTTAACACTCAACAGAGTGAGTTTTGAGATCCTTAAAGTCTCATAAGAACTAGTGATGTGCAATAATGGTGATTGTTAAGTGCGACGTCGATTGGTGAGACGGCGTAACTAATTGATTAGGTTTACCATAATTTATAACAATGAAACTGAAACAGTAGGAATGTACATGAACAACAGTTTTTGAAGTAAAAGCCAAACTATCTGGTACCTAATGGCATGAAATTTATGAAGTGAAAGAGCTAATACCCGACTCAGGAAGCAATTACTGCATTCACCGGAGATTTAGTAACTACCGGTGTCAGAGGCAAATATATCACAATAAATAGGAAAGTTTGCTGCAGGTGGAATTTAGTTTTCACCTATTTCACTGCGCAACCGACTCTACGTAGACTACAAATGCTATGACAAATGAGTGACTAGTTCCTATAATCCTAGATACCTATTTCGCTTTGTTGCATCCAAACACCTTTAAATAATCAAACAAAAACCCATAAGCGATCGCAAAACCAGCCATGGAAACTGAAGCAGGGAACAAAGGTTTTGATCATGAAGTTCGTGAAAAACCGAAAGGTCTAGCTGGAATTCAACCAAAAACACTTAAATTTAGTTGCAATATAAAGGTAGAGAAGTATCATCGCAGAATTCCCTAACAATCACTGCTATTTGCAGACTACCAAAAGTTCAATTCTGTATTGCGAAATTTTATTTGAGCTAAGAATTTTCAGCACGTTAACCCAGTCAACATTTTTGCGGGGCAAAACTTGAGGTCATGTTTCAGATTGGCATGAAAACACGGGGCAGAACTCGGGGTGAAACACGGGGTTGAGCAACATTTTCCCGAGTTTTTAAACTCCGTGTTCTCCCCGCACATTTTATTTATTGCGTTTTCCCTATGAAATTATTGACTAGATAACGTGCTCCGATAGAGAATCTCACTGGTCCATATGATGCACACTACTTTCTTATCTATCACACAGGTCTCATATGTGAATCTCAAGAAAAAGGCATATGATCCTCACTTCCCAGATGCAAGTGAGTGGGTGGACAGCCGTGGTAACCAATATTAATTGATAAATAGTGACCGTAAGCTAGGACACTAACGCTCATAACCAACTACGGATAATCCACGCACTCGAAATTTTCGACACCTTTTTAAAGCTATAGTGTGATTTCTTACCACAAACTGTCACGTAGGCTCAACACAATCTGAATATTATAACAAAACCCGCCTCCAGACAAGAGAAGTCGAGTTAAAATCTCCGCTGTGACCTATGACAAATGAAATGTCAACCTTCAATCTTTCTTCAATATCCAGGCTCGAATGTCCAGATTTAAGAATCGTTTGGGTGAATAAGTACACGGACAGTTTTTGAACTGACGCATGTCTGATTACTGATTTTGTACCTTATTTGTGAACGAAATTCCTTTCTTCTTTCTTACCTGCAGTTCTGCGCTCTATCCATTGTTTCTCTGAGTAGCTTGCACGTTGAGTTTGTAAGGAAACTATGGAGCAGCTGGCCTATGAACCTGATTCTCTATGTTATAGGAATAGCGAACGATGATCTTTGGATTCTACTGCTGTGTTTTTATACATATAGCTTCTTGAAATGACAAGTTATTTCTCTGGTTCAGAGAGATATGAATGGGCAGAGTTAGTTATCTTCGTCAAACTTCAAACTTCGTGCTGCAGAATCAGCAAACAGCTGTTTCTTGGGTTCTCCGTTCGTCCTACCGGGTCTTCAGTGGTCACAACTATCCTGATTATTCTGAAAAACCTGAAAGGATAGAGATAATCGGTTATTAATTAATCTGCTGTGAAAGTAGTGCTACTACATCCTATCTGCAGATAGCGGAGAGCTTCCCAAGTACGGCTCGTCGGTACCACAAGGCTCAAGACGTGCGTCTAACCCTCTTTTGAAATTAGCACTGGACGGGACCATAATAACTCCTAAAGGAAGGGAGTTCCACAGTTCACAAACTTTAACTGCAAACGGGTGGCAATGAATCTCCGAATGTGCTGTCACATGCTCCATTCTCGACGGGTGACCCTCAGGTGATGTTTCCAATTGAGGCTTGGAGGGATCTGTTAAGATGAAGGGGGTTATGGGTGATTTGGTACGTCATGACTATATCCCCTCTGATCCTCCGGTGTTGCGCTGTATGCAGCTTAAGAGCAACTAAGCGGTCTGGGCAAGGTTTCCTCCATAACCCAATCACTTTCTTTGTGGCTCTTCTCTGCACCCGTTCTGGGATGTTGAATATATACAGGATACACTGTGGTCAAAAGAGGAGTCAGACTCTCTAAGATTCGCGAAAGAAACCCTTTGAGTCCAGAGACCGTGTTGGCTGCAAGACGACAGTGGACCAAAGCTACGTGTGTATCACTTAGTGTGACTCCCAGACATTGTTTCATGTTAGAGTGACAGTTATTTACTTCACCTAGAAAGTAAGGGCTGAGACTGCTTTTATATTTGTCAGCAACCATAATTCAAGACTTCTTCGAGTTGAGAGGTAGCAGGTTTTCTGTAGTCCAATTAAGGACCTTCGTAAGGTCCCCCTGGAAGACGGAAATATCCGCTGACACCTGTATTTCCCTCCAGCTCTTCAGATCATCGTCGTATAATAGTGAATGACGATTGAGGACTTCCGGTAGGTAGCTGATAAAAGCAAGAAACAGTAGTGGGCCCGGAATAGAATCTTCAGGCACACCACTCACCATCGGGAACCAATGAGATTAAAAAAGCCAACTCTAAGTGACTGCAACCTGGTGTAGAGATAATCTGTAAGACAAATTGGTGATTTTCCGTGTACACCCATAAGCTAAAGTTTCTTGCATAGAATATCGTGATCTACCCTGTCAAAGGCTTCAGGATAGTCAAGTAATCCAATGTGAATGGGCCTTTTCTGCTCAACAGAAAGAGTCCAGCCATTCCGAGTTATCAATAAGTTGGTGTTACATGACCCTCCAGGTAAAAAAACCATGTTGATAGTCGTTTAAAATTCAATTATTAAGTGATCACGAAATGATTCATTTAGTACTCTCTCCGTGGCCTTCACGAAGGAAGAGATAAAGGAGATCGGTCCATAGTTAGAGGCACCATGGGTCTT